ACGTTTTAATGATTGATGTTTATTGGTTGAAGCTAAATCGTTTCCCCATACATACGAGAAAGATAGAAATATTGTCGCGAATTTTTGGATGTTTCAAAATAATAAACATGAAATAAAACTTTAAAAAAACTAATATGAACGAATAACAACTTATTTCTGGATGAACAAATTCGAGCCAAATTTAACATCAGCGCCGCCATAAAAACTTTTTAATAATTTCAAAATTGCCTTCGATTGTCCATGATTTGTCCACGTTTGTCCAACCAAAAGTTTCGTTTGTCCACCCCTCAAAACTGAAACATTTATATTTATCTCGTATAGTTAAATTTTAGGTTTTAGACTAAGACCTTTTTATAAATAATACATTTTTTTTATAAAATTAATAATTTCATATGTAGCCAACTTAAGTAGACACACTGTATTATGTGGAAGCGTTTGTTCTTTAAACTGAGTTTGATGATATTAATTGCTGAGATGAGTAGGAGCACTATTTAATAAAGAGATGATGAAAAGTTTAATTTAAAAAAGAAAATTTCCTTAAAAATCAATATTTTTGAGCCTACACAGAAACACTTTAATACCTCCAATTAAAAACATGGATATTATTATTTCATAACGTTAAATTTATGACGATTATAACTGGTGCCGGAATAACAACGTGACAACTAAATGTATGTGGACGCTGTGTGGTATGGAATGTGTATTTTTTTCGTTTATTTTAAACAAATTTTCAAAAATAGATTAAAATTATTTAAAAAGTTAGAAATATTTTCTAGGTATAGGTACTACATTCATCGGGGCATTGCGTATTATATTTCCACTCCCTTATATATCTATCTAGGGTTCTTGGCTACCAAGATTGATAATGATATTAAATAATGGCTTATTCAGTGATCTGAATTGGTGATAAGCCCATATACAATTAAAGTAGTTAGGGTATATTATTGAACAAATGTGTTTAGACACGTGGAAAATGGTTCGTTTAAAATTGGGGTCATTCTTCGGTGAAATGCAAATTTCTATGTCCCTGAAGGACTGCCTATGTGTTACTGATAATCAAGTAAAATAGAGATACACTTTTTACCCACAGTAAATTAAATAGAGGGCATAAATGTTATCAAAATACCTTGATTTGAGCGTAAATAATTTTTTATAATCTTACGGTTTGCGTACAATAATTAATTAATTTGTTGTCCTGCCATGGATTCATGACCAAGCAATAGATTAATTACCGCTGCCGCTTTGGTTCCAGTCCTCAAACTCATGGCTAGAACCATATATTAGGGAAGTGCGAATAGATGGGAAGCTCAGTGCTAAAATTCTGAGGCGATGTGCTGCCAACTATCTAATTGGAGCGGTACTAAATTAAATATGGCCGCCAGGGGCGGGCTTTTTGCAAATTAACTTTTTGCCAGCTGGATAGCTATTCACTAAGTCATGGGAGCGCTCCGATGGGAGCGCTCTCTTACTCTTAGGTGGGTATATCGTGCTTACTCACTTTTAGCACAGGTACATGCGTAGTAAGGTCAGATTTTATACTATGGGAGGGAGAATTGCGGGCTTGCCAGATTAGGTCCGTATTTATCACAAAGCAAATTTGAACTACTAAGGGCCGATTCCACCGTTGAGTTAAACGGAGATTAAAATGGCATTGTTAATGTAAAAATGTCATTTTAAACTTCGTTTAACACAACGGTGGATCGGTCCTTAAATAGTAGATCAAAGTTATTCTGTCGACTTGGCAACGTTGGCATGGGAGTGTGGGAGTGCTCCCATGAGTTAGAGAATAGGTATCCTGGGCAAAAATGTAATAAAGAAAATCAAAACGTTTTGCTCGAGCTGACAACTGACATTTTGATACGAGCGCCATCATATTTTTTGGAGGGGTTAAATAAATGGCAGAAACGTTGGGAAAAGTGTATAGCACTAAAAGGAGATTACATTGAAAAATAGGAATAAATTTTTTTGAAAAACTTCCTCTTCCTTTCTAACACGGATACTTTTTGATTCACCCTCGTAAGTATGTATTTTAAATGTTTTTACAAAAAGTTATTCAAAAACAGTGTTGTAAGTGACTAAAGTAGTAGTGTGTTCGATTTATAGTTGTAAAAGCCGAAGTGAAAAAAAAGGAAGAAGTAATTGCATTTCTCAGGTCAAAATAAAATATAATACCTTTTTGAAAAACAACTTATATTGGGTGAAAAATGTTTGAAATTAAAGTAAAAAACTGCATATTTAAACAGTCGTTTACGCCTAAAATAATGATTATAAATGGTTTATTTATGTGTTTATACAGGTTTATGTAAATAACACTTTATTATTATAAAAAAATACACGTATACGGGGCGAGTCAAAAAGTGAGTGTTGCTATTTTACAATACAACATCGCCTTAACAAAAATATATACTTCGGACACATCATATACAGGGAAAATAAAGAGTTGTATAATGTTGAAATATACAAAAATTGCTATTTTATTACAAAATTCCCTGTGCAGAGATAAATAATTGGTCAAATCAAGTATGACATGTTTTGATATAATAAAACAACAGTGTTAAGTGTATTTTCGCAAGTTAATTCATGTTTCTATGACTAGTTTTTTTTATCATTGCCTACTGCTGATTTATTTGTAAGTTAATTTAGTATTGGTAAAATTGAAGCGCCATTTTTTTGTCATAAATACACTACCAAACTTTTTTTACCCATTTTGTTTTTATAATTAACAACACACGTATATAAAGATCCGATGGTCCAAGTATACCTTCAACTTTAAAACAACAAAAGACATGACGAAACTTTTAAAACGCCTTCAGCGATTCTTTTTTGATAACAAAAAAATATCGGGCAACTATCGGCCGATCGTGTAATCATTCAATGCGAATACTGGGAGATACAACAGCTCTGAACAGCTCTACGTAGCGTGTATCGCCTTGAAATTCGAAAAGTTACTAGACGAAAAAGTTGATAACGGAAGCGGAAAAACATTCCGCCTTGACATAAATTTTAAAAAGAAGAGGTTTGTAAAGAAGTTGTTTCTTTTACGTGTGTAGTTCGTGCAATTTACCATTTCATTTAACGTTGAATCTAAATGCGAGTACGAGATATTGGTTTATCCAGTGTGTAAATACCATTGAAAATAATTCATCTACAATAACATTGTATAGGTTCATTTTGCTTTTGCAACTATTTTTTCTTGATATAGCCCTTTTTTTACGCATCCCCGTACAGTGTGTCTTATTAAGAATGAAACACAGGACAATTTAAGATCCTATGATTAAAAATAAAACGATTAAACGACATATGCTTAATAAAATATTACTGGTTTCCGAAATACAGGGTGGTTAAAATTATCAAAAATTATTGGCTATATTTTTATTTCTCAGTATAATTTTACTAAATTCGGTATTATTGGTGTTATAAAATACATCTATCGGCAAAACAACCAGTTAAATAAACTTTGCCGGTGGCGTACGGTATGGATAAATAACACCATGAATCCCTCTACATTTTACGCCACTGTCAAAATCTGCTTATCGGTTTCCATGGTAACCGCGAAAAACCACGAAAAATCGTACAAAAGTCGCGCAAAAATCCCATTCATCCCTTTTCCGAGATTTGGGTGCACGATGGAAGTGAGTATGCATAAGCGGCAGACGCTCAAGACCTTGTAGATGACTGATAAGAAGGAATTTTTTGTCTCCCGTCAACTGTCACTTCTTTATGAGGTTTTGAAAATTTCTTTATCGTTTTTCGACGTTTTAATGGAAACGAATAATTTTTTGAATATTTTTCCTAAACACCTTTCGCCTTTCTCTACCTCGCCACGCACACGGATTTTTTGTCGGGCGCCATTTTTTGTTTGAGATTTCCGGACGAAACATCCCGTCAGCGTCCCCGAAGGGGTCGCTGCACAATATATAATCACTTTTCATATGTTTTCATCCTGTCCGCGACCTCTACTAATTCTATCGAAATATTTCCCTTTACCTCTTCTTTTTTTTTAGAGAAAGTAACAAGTTTTGCTATTGATGCAACGGGCATATCGATATTTTTTTGTGTGTCATCGGTATCAACTGCTAAGGTTATTAGCTTCGTGTTCTATGTAGGCTTTGTTACTGTTTTCCAGCGCCACTTTAGGAACAGCACTGTTAATTAGAACCCAACAGTGAATGGTCGAGTGGGGAATCTTACCAAGTACCAAGGCATCAGAATTAATTTTAAATAATTTAAATGAAATAAAAAAATCCCGGCATATCGATATTATTGTCTATCGTCTTTTTTATCCCAATGTTTAGAACGAAAACCTTGACTCCATCACTTCTTATGATCACGATTACATCACCCTCACGAGGGTGGTCTTTGGTCATTCTTACGGTCAAGGAAAATAGACTACCCTACAGTAGGGAAGGGCGATACTGTTCTAAATATCGATACTCCGTATCGATACGTATCGTTTAAAAAATATTGATACTTAAAAATAAGCACCTTAAAATATCGATATTGTATAATATCGATATTTTTCGATACGACAAATAATACCTACTATACAGGATTAAAGTTCAGTGATTCTATACTCCATAATCCAAAAATATATTTATCAATCATACAAATAAAAGACAAACTAAAAATAGAACAAAGGAAAATTTATAAAATATAACAAAAAAATTAAAAAACTAAACGGTCTTTTTTTTATAAATGCCAATCTTCTTTGTCAAGTGATTTTAAAAACAAAAGCTGTGACAACCGTTTTCCACTTAATCGATTTCTATTTGGTGACATTTAAAAAAAAGGCGTTCGCTGGAAACGGAAATGATAATTATTTGAACTCTACTACTCGATATATACCAAAAAATATCGATATCAGTCATATCAAAATCGGAAAATATCGATATAAAATATCGAATATCGAAGATACTTGAAAATATCGTATCGTAACGCCCTTCCCTTCCCTACAGTCCCCCAGCGAAATGTAAATTAAAAATATATTTATTTTGTTTCAGGCCCTAGCCGTCGAGTAGCGCCTCCCATAACGCTGCCAGTCACCCTGGAGGACCCTGCCACTAATTGGAAGGGACCGCCACCCGGTTCGGAACCCCAAAACTTTTCTCAAGGAACAGGCAACTCGTTTTCTGGGCCGCCGGCTGGCTTCCAAGGACCCTCGCCATTTCAAGGCCCACCGGCGGGGGCCGGGTCGCCAGCCGGCGCACCTCCTTATCAGGGGGGTCCTCCTCCAGGTTCTAATACTCCTCAATATACCGCATCACCGGCTCCATCGGGTTCTTCAACCCCTGGACCTGGTCCACCGCCGAACGCAGGCTTCCCCCCTCCCCCGAATAGTACCGGACCGCCATACAATGGCCCCGGACCGGGCCCTTTTGGCTCACCCTCGGCTGGAGGACCTCCATTCGGCCGTCCCGGGTCGTCAGGACCACCGTTCGTTGGCGGCCCGGGACCTACTGGCAATCATTTTCAACATTTTGGACCTGGCCCTGGTTTTGGTATGCCGCCGGGGTCACCGTTCGGTCCTGGCCCAGGACACCCTATGTCTGGACCTATGGAACCAGGTCACGGCATGATGTCCCGTCAAATGGGCGGACCTATACCTGTAGAGCAAGGGTAAGTGTTTTTTTTTTGTCTTATTTACTCAGAACACTTTAAATTTTTTACATTATTTATTGTTTGTTTATCTGAATCCAACCTAAGTCGATTCAAGCAAGACCTTGAACGAATATCGAAGTTCGGTTATATTGCATGAATTTATAGAGGCAGCAACAAATTTTCTTAAAAATTCGAATTTTGCACATTTTGTCAAATTTCTGGAATATGGACCATTTTAGGAAAAAATTCTATAGGATGAAAATTAACAGAATAACATTACAATCAATTTTTATTTAAATAATTTTCTTCTCCAAGCTTATATAACATAAATTCCATAAAGTAGAAAACCGACCCCTTATAAAGTACTCCCCAGATGTTCCAAGATTAGTAGGCAATCAGTTAATGAAAATATTGTTCTTCAGTAAAACTATCCACTGACACTGGCTGGGTCAAAATTGTTTATATACCGTTTTATGTTTGGCGCGTATAGAACTTAGAAGCGAAGACAGTAAATTTTACTGTACTGGGGAAAGGCTAGCAGGCTAGTAAATGGCCTACGCAAACAGCTATTTACTTTCCTAGCTAGGCGTCTGTTGTTGTAAGTACTGGTGCAAGAGTAGTATTCAAATGACATTGGATTAGTAGTGGTCTTGTAAGTTACTAACCCTTTTAATATACCAATGAAAACGTCCCTTTATAAACAGCCAGGCATTGTCAGACTTGATCCCTACGAATTTGTATGCACACGTTCCAGCAGGCTCGATCATTCTCGGAATTAGATCCGACCCATTAGGCTTTGTTCGGCTTACCAATTTTATAACGTTTCAGAACTGCGTGAAATTAGTTGCGCACTAAATTACACACGAAACAGTCAATGCTAGAGTGTCCTAGGATTAGATTTGGAGAAACCCGAACACGTAAATTTAAATGCGCATGATTATAACGTTTTTAAACCGTCCTCAAAAGTAAGCCGAACAAAGCTATTGGCTCACCGGCGCATTGATAGGGGAGGGGGTAATAAGCGGAATCAACTGTGCCTGGACGTCTGTCGTCTACCATTTCTGTAAAGAAGTAGAGGGTACCTAAATGCGGAAATATCCACATTCCGCGCAGGACGCTACATTGCCCAGTTATGTATATAATAATATACAACAATATACCTACTTACCTCTAAGAATTACTTATTATTATTGTATACTTTAAAAACCATTGAATGAAATCCAGGTAGGTACCTACCTATAGAATTATTGAAAACAGGTATAGGCTTCTTTTAATTGCCCGATTAGGTATTTGTCACGTTATTATAGGTACAAAAAACAAAAATCTCAAAAAAAAAAACAGCAATACCTACGTAATTTTTTTTTTCTCTTACACTGCTTCATCTCTGTTCTACCCCAGTTCGGGGGTTGGTGTGGGCAGCTCAGCGCTCGCGAAGTACAGAACGCTACTGGCTCAATACGTCTATAGTGTAATCGGCACGTCGAGGCCACCTGTTTTTCCTTTGCTCGGGCTCCTATTAGCTCTCGCTCTTTAATATTATTCCGCTGATTAAAATTATGCATTTAGGGTGAACGTAAAGTTGATAGTACAAATCGTAGGTATTTAGAAACGTGGATGTTTCCAAAGGATGCTTTTTAATATTATCAGTTCTATTATTATTATAATAAATATTGCCGATGAAGCTGACCGTACACGAAAAAAATTAAGCGATAAAAAATGGAAAACGTACCTATGTAGTAAGACTTCTGTCACTTTTTTTATTGAAAAATGTCTAGGTAACTAATACCTAGGTACCTAATTAAATATAATTTAATTACATTAAGTAGATACCTTCCAATTACTACCTAGGTCAAATGATGGGAAGGTCGTAAGAATGATCGACACTTCCTTCAAAATTAAATCTTTTCATTACCAATTTATTTAAAGGGGGTGTTCTGTTCTTCTTCGGTAACGCGGTCATTGACCTATTGTGTTTCTTTTTCGTCTTTAGGAACAGCAATGTTAATTAGGACCGAACGGTGAATGGTCCAGTTGGGAATCGTACCCAAACATTTTAATTAATTTCTAAATAATTAGGTATTAAGAGGAATACATACCCTGACATAAATTAATGAATTTAAAGAAATAACAGTTTTAATTTTTTGTCCGATATTTTGAATCTCCCTGTAGATATCAAAGGTTTCTTTTTAATGAGCACAAAACTGCGTAACTTTTGTCTAATTTAACTGTATGCGAAGACTGGGTCCAATCGTTCAAGAAGCGCCATAACCTCTTTGTCAAGAGGCCTCGAGCTTAATGCTGCGCCATTTGGGAAGTCGCTACCCGAGACCGACTTCAAACGTAGAGCGAGAGACCGAAACGGCCTTTTCACGTCTGTACACATGTAATTATATGAAACACATTTGGGAAGGCACAACAGACGATAGCAGATTTAGTATGGCAATATTTGTCGCCTTACTGCTGTCTTCGGTAGCTTAAAGTCGGTCTCGAGTCGCGCTTTCCCATATGGTAGATTAAAAATACGCTAAAAAAAGCTATGCACCTGAGTCTCTGCTTTTTCCAACCCTACTGCAATGGGGTCTTTCCAAATGGAAGTATGCTCATTCTATCAGTTATTCTGAGAATCCAAACTTTGTGCTGATCTGTAGTTATTTAATGACCCGTATGTTGATCCCTCCTGTAACCGTTTTTGTAAAAATTTTAAAACCTTAAAAATATCACCCGTGAAAGGGTCTGTTCCCTCTGACATACAAAACTTCCACCACAGTTTCAACCCCACCGTATATTGTAGAAGGTAGAAGTTGAAATGGATGACAGCTTAATCTCACTAATATTGGATTCTAGGCTCTTTAGGGTGAACGACTGTTGGATAAAAATCCTGCCACCAGGGAAAGGTTTCTTGCCAAGGGGTGTGGAGACCTGTCAACAGATAGTAAAAGTAAGGGATCAGGGTCGAATTTAAGCAGTTGTGAACTTAAAATACTCAAACAAAGGTCACCAAGGTTGGGTAGTCCAAAAGGGCACTACTACTAACCCTGAGGCATTATCATTTATAATTTTCTGTATTACTGGTAGGACCAAAGAAAAAGGCAGAAAACTGTAAAAGTTATTATAATTTGACCAATTTAAGGTAAATGCATCAATAGTTAAGGCATAAGGGTCCTTCTTCCATGAGACATACCTCGTACATTTAGCATTTGTGCGGCTTGCAAAAAAATCGATTGAAGGTTGTCCAAACTATTATTTGAAACGCCTCATTATTTAGTTCCCACTCAGTCTCTGGAGACCTCCTAGATTCAAAGTCTGCTTCGAAATTATCTGTTGAACTTATATAAGAAGCAAATATGTAAATACCACGAGCTTCACACCACTGCCATATTGGGCATATTGTTCTTGCTAAAGTGTTGAGCTTGGGGTAGCGTATGCCCCCCTTTTTGTTTATATATGATATAGCCGTGGTGTTATCAATTCTGAGGACATTACAATATTTCTCTTCGTTTACAAAACATCTTAAAGCAAAATAAGCAGCCCTAAACTCTAAAAAATTTATATGGTGTGATTTTTCATGATCAGTCCAGCTGCCCGAAACCCTTTGGTTCTTATGTACTGCCCCCCAACCTGATAATGACGCATCAGAAAATATTTCAAAAGCAAAAGAAGATCTAGTGATGTATTCAAAGCTTGTTGGGATGTTTGGAATCCACCATTTAATATCAACTTAACACACTCAGGTATAGTCATTATAGCCTCATAATTATTTGATCTTTTTAATTTTTTTCTATTTGAGGTGTACACAACTTTGCACCAAAATGAAAAGTGACAGCCACGCCCGCAGAGCGCGGGAATTACATAGACGAGTTAGGTTATCAGTTTTTGGCTTGGGACTATGGTACACAACTAGCTCATAAATGAGTACTACGTTTACTTATCATCTGAAGAAGGGAGTGCAGTGTTATCAGAATTATCGATTATGGAAATATACCCCATTTCTTAATCAACAGTACTTGAAAATGTTTGTATTACAATCGTAGAAAAAATAGATTAACATTGAGCTGTTCATATAAGTACCTAGTCCGAATATTATGAATTAATTAAATAGGTATCAAAGGCAAGGTAACAATTATTACAAGATTACCCACATTAGGTATTTTTAATTAAAAACAAATAAATTAAAGTTGCAATAACATTATTCACTGTTGGGTTCTAATTAACAGTGCTGTTCCTAAAGTGGCACTGGGAAACAGTAACAAAGCCTGCACAGACCACGAGGCGAAATAACCTTAGCAGTTGAAGCCGATGACACACAAAAAAAAAATAATGGACTTTGAAATAAAAAAAAAAAACAGAAATATAGAACGTAGATTTGTAGATTTTATTTTTCTACGTCTTAGTAGATCAACGCATGAGCACCTCAAGGTTCAAATTTGGCCTCAATATATCAACGACCTTTTATTTTTACATCTATGAATTCGTCTCGCTGATGATTTTTGGAATTTAATTTGAATTGTTTAATCGACATAAATAATTTTAAATATAAACTGCGCGTTAGATAAAACTGATCAGCTAAAAAATTTACGAAATAATTCATTTTTTAAAAATATTTTATTTTTATAACAATAAATCTATTGTGTATTAAGTCAGTAATTGTTTTACCATGTTATCCGATGTTACCATAAGTCACAATCAAAAACAAAGCAAAAAATTTAAGAAATCATAAATTTATAAAAAATTACAGTTACAGTTAACTTTGCAATAATAAAATTAAAGAGGCAAGTAAAGGTTAGGATCACTTTTCAATACGGCGTATTGCCACCCCGATTCTAAATGACATTCCTCATTCGATTTGGCGTAGAAATCAACAAGGTCTGAATATTTTCTTGAGGAAAAGTGGTGCATTCCTCAATAAGGACCAACCGAAGCTCTTCGCGTGTTGTTGGAATAGGTATGCGACGTCTTACACGCCTTTTAAGCTGGTCCCAAACACGCTCAATAGGATTAAAATCCTGGCTTAGAGCAGG